CTAACGACGCTGGGGGGCCATGGAGACGGCGTGGCTTGAGGAGCTGGACTGTCCGCCAGGCAGACCCCACACGGACAGGACGGAGCGCTCAGGGCGGGGACCCAGGCGGCAGCTTTTACAGAAATTGTCCAGGTGATTCCCACGGGGACCCCATGTGAGAATCGACGCTCCGTGACCTCCGTGACCCTGCCGGGTGCGCACCGCCTGCCATCTGCCCGGAAAGCCAGAGGCCCTGCCGTCTCCACTCCCAGGTTTGCAGGATTTATGGGGAGCCCTCGACCGCGCCCCATACTCGGCTTCTCGGGAGAGTGTCGCTGCGGCCTGCCCAGCGACGCGGTATTTAACGTGTGCGCGGCCTCCCCCGCTTTCAAGAAGGTGGGGGCCCCTCCTTCTCCAGGGGCCGCTCTCCGGGGCCCGGAGTCCTGGGAAAGTAACGCATGTGATGGAGCCGCCAGCCTCGGCCACGCCCTCACCGCCCCGAGCTGGGCTCAGGCAGGACAGGGTGTGAGAGCCGGCCAGGGGGTGGCGACGGTGAGAGCAGTAGCTACGCCAAGAGCAGGCACAGCCTGAACGTGCCCACGGCCCACGGCACCGCGACAGGTGCGTTCTGACAGCATCTCGGACGCTCCCAGCCCCTGCGAGGTCAGCACCGTTTCCCCCGTTTGCTGAGGAGACCAAGCCCAGAGAGGTCAGGCAACTTGCTCAGGTCACACAGTGAGGGAGCATCCCCTGCCACCCACCCATGCAGCTTGCGCTGCGGCCGCCAGGCCACGGCCCCCCTGAGAGGAAGCGCCGGGAAACGGGGCCGAGGTGGCCGGGTGGCCGGGAGGGCTAACATGTGTGGAGAGAACCAGGCCTGGGCGAGGACCCGCTGCGAATCGCTCGCGTGAACGGAGCCACAAGAGTAAATATCACACGTGTTAACGTGGTTGACGTGTTAACCATGTTGGGCTGAGCCTCGGCGGGAGCCACAGAACCCGGCGTATTGACTGTGGGGGCCGCTCCTCCACCCCGTCCAGGACACACGCGTCCTCGCCGCTCGGGCTGCGCGTCGGCCAGAACGAGGCCTGTGGACCAGGCGCTGTCGCTGCTGCTGGTCGTCGAGTGAAACAAACCGTACCAGGGGAGCAGGAGGCACAGCTGCGACCACCTCGTTGTTCCCCACGGGGCTCCCAGCCCTGCGCCGGGGCCAGCATGTCTGAGCACACGCGTGCACGCACATACGCACACGTGCACACACACACCCCACACTTGTGCACACATGTGCATGCACATACACACATGCACACGTGCCCGCACAACCACATACACAGTGTGCGCACACATACAAACACACACATTGTGCACACGCACACACACTGTGCAACACGACTCAAGACATGGAGATCAAACCACACACACACACAGTCACGCAGAAACCTAAATGTAAATCCACTCGAGCAAACCCTGTGGGAAAGTAATTCGCCCACGAACCTGGGAGCCTGGGGGGCAGGGAGCTGTGGTCGGAGGGAGAAGGAAGAGGAAGCAGCAGCGCATTTTCCAACGCGGCTTCGCACCTCGTGCCCACGCTGCAGCCCCAACGGGAACACGACCGAGGACGCTAGGACCCTGAGGAGTCCTCAGGTCGCAGTGGTTCAGACGTCGGGTTTACAGCACATTCTAGACATGTTTACTGCACTCACAGCAGGAAAGATGCAGAATTACACGCAGGCACACGTGTGCGTATGCAGGCACACGGCACGGAGTCCGTGGGCTTTCATAGGACGCCGACCTCCCGGCAGCCTTTCCGGGCAGATCGCCGCCCCCGGGACCGTGAGTGAGAACGGCCAGCCGGGCGCCGCAGACAATGACACCGCGATGTCGTTACACAACCTCGGCTGAGACGCACCAGCCGCGGCGTAAACCAGGCAGCTGCGCTCCTGACGGAGACCGAGAGCTGGGGGCCCGGCAGGGAGACGCGGGACAAACGTAACAGGACACAGGCCTGCTCTTCCTATGTTACCCCCTCTCATACCGTCTTTAAGGACCAGGACAGAAAGGACGAACGAGAACAAAGACGACACGAGACACTGCTCGAACCCCATTTTAAAATGCGCAGGTGGGAGCGCTGGAAGGAGACCACAGGCCCAAAGCCCGTTGAGACAGGCTTGTCTTACGTGTGAGCCTCCTCCCACATGTCACACACTCAGACACGGACACACACAGCACAGAGCCACACACACAGACACATTACATGGACACACACACACAGACACACACACAGACACAGACATTACATGGACACACACAGACACAGACACGGACACACACACACCCTCCCCACCGCAGCTGCCGCCTGGACTGGCGCTGGGAGACCCGCAGGCTCTGCGGGCGGCGCTCACCTCGCTGCGGC